AGCAAGGAAAGAACATTTAACTTCGGGGTCGGAAAAAGGAACGCTGACATTGAATAGGAAAAGAGATCAGATACTTGGTCAAAAGCCATGAAGCTTGACTTTAAGCATTCAAGTTTCTCTTATACCACAGGACATTAAATAAGATTTCTCAGTTTTCTGTAACAAAATTGAGAGAGTGGAAGACACTTGAATTTGTTGCAGGTATCTTTTCTAGTTAGGCTAATCTCTCCAAAAACAGCTTTACAAAAACTGAAGCTGCAATGATGCAGTAAAAAATACTAACTGGACCAAATGGGAGGGAGAGAAGAATGGAAGATAATCCATTTCCCCAGTGACTTCTATTCCTTATTTAAACAAAACTATCTTTTTAAAATAAATGTATTTATTGCTTTGAAAGACAAATATTTTTAGAATGGCTTTTTAGTATCTGTCCTGCTGTGATATTCTCCAGTGAATAACCATTACCACAGATGTAGAAGTTCTGCTCAGGAAGGGAACTACTGACAGTAACAGGAGACCTGATCTCCCACTTCAAGAAAATTGTTATCTTTTTGGGACTGTGTCAATTGTCAATACTTGAAGTGTCAAGAAGCCCTTCTAATACCGATCAATGTTGACAATGGTTATATGTCTACACAAAACTTCTGAAGTCAGTGGAATACTCAGTTTTTCACCTGCCCAATTCTCAAAAGCAAAAAGCATTCTGCAATATGAATGCAAAGGGCTGGTTAAGTATCTTTGAAGGGTGATGCACGTACTTAATTACTGATCTAAGAACATTAAATGGTAGAATTTTAATTGATATACATCATCCCCGATTTAAGGTCAAATCAACCAGTTTTAAGCAATTTAAGAGATTTTTCAACTCAAGCATTTAACTGCCCACATTACTGTGTCACTGCCCATCCTGCCCAGGGGTGCAGTAGCTCTTCTGTTCCTCAGTGAATTATAGATTTTTAAATAATCTGCTCCCTGCCCCAACACACTAAAAATTCGGTTGAATTTATACTATCCTTCACAGAAAAGCATTGCCACTTGTACAGCTTTTGTACAGCAGGAGCATTAAGGCAGAGATACATTCTTTTACTAAAATAAGCTAAGCAAACATGGAAAGAGGATTTACAGCATATGATAAGGGAGACTGGAAGCTTCAGAATCTGGGTTTGTTTTCAATCCTACAGGCAAAAATCACTACAGCTATACATAATTAAGCAAAGAATATAAGGACACTTCATATGTTTATTTTTTCTTCCTACCCTATTAAGGAAAGAGCTGGAAAAACACTTAAAATTTAAAACCCCACCACCTCCAGAAACAGTAGACTAAGCAGCACATACATTGCCTAATTATAAAATTTATCTACAAATAGAAACCAACTTCCTACTGGAACACCACTCTTCCTAAACTAGATCTGCATATCAATTAATGGCACAGAAATCAGATAGCAGTGTAGCTGAACATGAAATAAAGTCGAAGTTAACAGACCACCTTGTCGGCTGAAAATATGAGTCTGCATATGAAAACAGGCATTTTTATATTGGTGTGGCATTACAAGGTTGTAATGATGACCTTATTTTGATTCTACTTCATCTAATAAGCCTATACTGATGAGTTTTACTCATATGCAACAAAAAAACCCTTAACATCTAGTTTGTATCTTCAACCCAAACGGTTTTTCACATCATTATGGAGCCAGAAGACATCAAGAAAAAAGTCCACAATACCCTTCTACCCCATATTTACTTTGGCACAAACATTTCTGTCTTTGACTGTCAGCTCTTATTTTAATCTTGCTCACATTCTCGTTTACTTTTCCAAGCAGCGTTACTTCTCTTTAAAGACATGTAACAAATATTTAACATTTGGAATTTATTTATTATATTGCCATAACTTTATGCTGTATAAATGCCTTATCCCCGAAGTTATTCCTTACTTGAGCTAGATCATAACTCTGATATTTAAAATTTCCCTATAATTTTTCACATCCACCATTGCTTTCCATTTTGTTTGCTTCCTAATTTATAACCACGGTTTTTAAGCACTTCTACTACAATATTTCATAGCCTATCATTCCTGTGGAGGTAATTAATTTAGAAAATAGCCTAAAATTTGTCACAGACCATCAAAAACTATTAGAATTGGACACAAGGGCACATAGTCAATCTTTGCCAACAGTACACAGCAGACAGTTTGCTCACACACAGGGATGATTCAATGGTTTTCCTTTCGTCACCGAAGCAGAATCCTTTCTGACCTGCTTCACCCATGAAGCATCTTGGCAGCTCTGCAAGTCTTTTCATATTCAGGAGCCACACAAGAAACTTAAATCAGGCAGGCTGACACTTGTTCTCAAGACTGGTCTAACAGCTACTGGAAAGTGTTTCACCTAGGATCCCCAAGCTACAACTGAACTGGAAAGAGCTGCTTCCTTCAGCCTTTCCAAAGAGCAGCAAAGGGCACCAATCAGAGGAACAGAATCACAGAATGGTTGATGTTGGGACATCTGGAACTTGTGTAGTGTCCCTGCTCAAAGCAGGGTCATCATCAGGTTACTTGGGATCTTTCCCATTCCAGTCTGGTTTTGAGTACCTCCAAGTACAGGGAGACTCCACAAATCCCTGTGTCTGCTGGGCAGCCCAGAACTGGGTGCAGCACTCCAGATGGTCTAACCAGTGCAGAGCAGAGGGGCTGGATCACCTCCCCTCTGCTGCTGCTGCTGATCCCAGTGCAACCCAGAGTGCTGTTGAATTGTCTTTGCCACGAGAGTACATCACTGGGCCATGCTTAACTTACCTACCAGCCTCACCTCTGGCTGCTGGACAAGCTGAACAATAACAGCCCCTTTTTTCAGGTTCTTACTTAAGGTATAATATCTACTCAGTGGTAACAAAATCAAGACAAGACTGGTGGTGGGGATATTAATCAAAATGCCAGGTGAGACCACAGTAAACAGATTATTTGAGATGAGAGAATAAGATGGTATTTTGCAACCTCTACAGCAAAGTTACATTAGTAAGCATTAGAGAACATTTCAGTGCTCACATTCTTTAGCAAGAAAAGAACAAGAAACAAAGCTGCTGTCTTATTAAGCCAGCAAAACCACAGATTCTGTATAACAAACAAATCCCAGTATCCTACACTGTAAAAGCTGTTCACAAAGATGATCACCATACAGTAAGAAAGACCAAATGCAAAGCAGAGAAACTGAGGGAAGCCTTATCTTCATTAAGGCAAAACAAACCATAATGCTGACTAAAATGCATAATTTGAGCAAACTAGAAGAAAAATGGCCTCATTGCATTAAAAATGCAACTATGTTCTGTGTTATTAGTTACTCTGATGTTATGCAAATTAAAAGAATTAGGCTTGCAGGCAGAAGGTAAATAATCTTATTTAAAGCTTCCTTTTTAACACAAAATTTTCTATTCCATAAACAGAATTAAAAGCTTTAAGTATGATGTTTTTACCACAGAGTCTTGCAGTATGTCATGACAGGCTCCCATGCTCATGTCCAAACCAAAGCTGAACATTACTTAATCAGGCATAATAGAGCTGGCTATGAAAGTGAAAATATTTCCATAGTGCTTTTTCAGCAGACCTAGTAGGTACAGTAACATGATGATTCAGCAGAGATGAGCTCCTGCTCAAAGCAGAGGCAAACATCCACCAGAAGTGGGAGAGCTGCTGACCAGTCAAGCTGCAGTTATCCCAGCCTAATTGCCTTGGGTATTTTTGACTCACGTGCATGGGCTGCATCTCCAGTGAGGCACAACAGCCCCTTCAGCTGATTTTTTCAGGACTATTTCCTATTAATACTTTGTAACTTCCCCTCTCACTTCCATTCAGCCTCTTCATGCCATTTCCTATTTGGCATTTACTGAAATTGCTGCTGGCTGAACAGGATTAGACCAGTAAAGCAGCCAAGGAATAAGAGACACATGACAAACAGGTCCCTGTTACACGACAAAGAACAAGTATATATGCTCTATAATTTGACATGAGTAACAAAAATATATTTTTCCCCAACAAAATGAGAGAGATGTGTTCAACTATTCCACCTAAGAAAGACAAAGCACATAAGTCATGTAAGAGAACTCAACTTTCAGCATCTTTTTAAGAGTAAGATTTTAATTAGAAGAGTTGCATGCCTTCTGGAATCGGAAGTATCAAAAGAAGATTCAAGGATTACTCAGGATCAAACTGCAAAGGCTACCTAAAAATCTGCAAAACAGGATTTCTCTAGACAAACAGCAAATTCTTAAAAAAATCAGTTTTAATGTCCTCGTGGCTGTCAGACTACTACAATCAGGATTCATTGGTCTGCATAAAGAAGCTACACCGAAGTACACAAACTCCAAACACCTCATAACCCACTGTGAAGCCAAGCAAAACCAACTGGCTAATCAATGAAAAGGAAAGCAACAATCATAAAATGGTTAAACAAGCAAAACATTCTTAAGATAATAAAAGACATAGTGGCTACTAAAAAACCCAAATTGTATCAAAATTTATTTTCCCAAGTAAAAGCCAGCCTTCCTCTCAGTGTATTAAACAGAAGGATGATACAACAGAAGAGTTGTTCCTGCAATCAGCAAATGCTGTTCTGCTCAGTCTGGTCACCTACACATATCAGCTGAGTGGGGCTAGACAGATGAGAAGCTCCACCACCTGCTTAATCAGCAGCCTAAAGGCCTCTAACAAGAAATTTTGTATGGCATTTGAGAATTAATCTGAGTTTCAACGAGAAAGGTGTTTGTCTAAAAGCATTTAATTTGTGACTAAAGATTATGCCTTCAATTTTGACCTAATACATTAAAACACAATTTATGCCAAGTAAGGAGAACAAATGCAAGCCAAAAAAGATTAACAGATAAACATTAGCAAGGAAGGCACACCAATACATAAAAACAACTGCTACAAGGCTAAAGCAGCTTGTTCTCATTTCCCAGCTTCCTCTTTACTACCATTTTGTTAGCAAGTTAGTCCACACTGCCACCCACCTCAATCCCACTTTGCCTGGCTAGTTTGACAGCTGTGTTGTAGTAGCCACAGCGTAGGAGATGTTCCACCATCATACGATCCATGCGTTTCTTCTTCCACATGTTGGCAGCAGCTGGCTGGTCACTGCTGTGCTCCTTCAGGTGTTCAATCCTGCGTTTGCAGAGCTTGGCACTTTCATCTTCTGCCTGGATTGACTCAACAGCCTAAAAAGTAAAAACTAACAGTAAGAGATACACATTTCCCATCTCCTTTTAAAGCAAAACACAATAATTGCTTGTAAGCATTCTCTATATATTATACAGCTTCTCCCAGCAGTGTTTCTTTTGTTTAGAAATATTTCCTGTGGCAGTGCATACGTTTCTGCATGGCTGGTCCTGTTCTGAGATATTCTTGCACAGAAGTAAGTGTTGATATATTTGACATTATGAATATATACATTTTTCTGCTTAATTTGCAGTTCATCCAAAACCAGAAATGTATCAACTATGGCAGCGACTGCTGTAATAGCCTGCAAAGAGCTTTGTGAAGGTTTGCCGTCCAAACAGTTGAAAAGCAAAATTTCCACTTCTAGCCCATGCATGGCTCCTTCCTTCAGCAGCTGTCCTGCTGGATTAGTTCTACTGAGGAGTGATGCAGAGTAAACCCACATTACTTCTAATACACAGCAGCCATTTTAATTGGTCATGCAATAATGGAAATTAAACAAATGGTTGGCCTCTTGGCACCTGCAATTCAAGGATCTAAAAGCAGTTTTCCAAAATCATCATTTTGTTAAACTGGTACTATTTTATATAACTCTGCTACTGTGGAAACAAGTGGAAACATCCCCTCGTTAAGGAGCTTTACTTAGGAAAACATTTGTTCAGAGGAACTAGATTGATGATTTTAAACCAACATATTGGCATACCCAGCAAAAAAACACACACCACTCCCACAGGGTATTACCACAATTTTTTTTTTTTTTAATTAAAACCATAACACTCAGCTTATAGTTGCTTTCCTTCAACCCTAAAGCCATCATTCCAAGCTGGCTGATTCAGTACACTGCATGTGACAACTGGCCCATGTCAGGCTACAGAACTCCAGAAAGCTGGCAGTACCTTTATGTACCTGCTAAGGTAAAGGCAAATCAGCAGAGGATAGCTAGTACCTTTCCCATCTGCAATATATCACTAGTGACGCAACTGCAAGTTAGGCTGCCCTGTGGTGACTTTAAACATGCTGGCTTATGTGTGAATGACTGCACAGCTCTGGCAGCTGGAAGGTACAGGCAGAACCTGGCAGGCTTTTGGCAGCCCACTCTGCACTCCATGCTGACACAGCCACCTTTCCAGAACTCAAACCATAGTATCGTATAAGGTACAGCTCCAGCTCTGCAAGCACAGATTGTTCTAATTTACCATGTCTGCCCATAGACAGACTTCTGGAAGGATCAGTAGTTGAAAAGTAAAGTGAAATGAGAGAAGACTTGCAAGGAAAGCTCACCGAGCTTATTCCCCTCTTCCCCCAGTTAAGCCTGACTCTGATCTGGCCCTTGATACCAAATTCAAGTATCTAAAACACTAGTCACTACACAAGACTCTCTTAATAACATTCATTAAACATATGTAACATGAGTTATTTTTACTACTGAAGTCTGAGTTACTTCTTCTGCTGACTTTAATTTGTAACATACAGTTTGGAGACAAGTATTTTGTTTGAGTTATAAACTGGGTCTCTTCCTATTCAGCAAGCAAATACTAACTCAAGACAAAACACACTTTCACTTTTTAGATATCTGCAGTATCATCAGATGTGAAGGCAACTTTGAGAAATAATCTGAATATAACTAAGAACTCAGGGCAGCCAGGCACAAAGGTTAGAATCTTTCTCCTTCCAAAGAGCTCTTCTTACATGGCTTTGTATCTGGACCTATAACAGCTCTTGCAGGTTTTTTGGTTCCTCTAGTACATTCAGAAGGGCTACAGCTCCTTTACAAAACCCTCTGAAGCAAGTCTATCTGGACTTGCCCTGCTGGACATGAACAGAAATTGAGGGAATAAGCATATTAAACAGGATACAAAAGGGAAAACACAAAGGCCTAGGTTTCCCCAGGATCATTTTCAGAACCCAATAAATCTGCTGTGTTTAAAAGCTCTCTTTTAAGAGTGAGTAAGGTGTTAAATAAAGGAACCATCTAATTCTATTATGGCCATCTCAGCAGTTCATGAGATCCTTGTCTAAAGACAGGAGAAAACAAAGATTCCACAAAGGCTCTAAAGAAAACAATCACTTTGCTCGGGGCTTTTAGAGAAGATTAGAGATTGTAGAGAAGACAGTTGGGAGTTGAGGGTTTGGAGCAGAAACAAGACCTTTGTATTTCAGAGGACTTTTACTGTTAAACAATTTTTTGGGTCTTTTGTTCTTTCTGAGCAGCCATAAGATTCCCCAGTCTTTCAGGCAGTCAAAAACAAATGAGCAATTAAACTAAAATGGAGCTTTGCACCCAAAACATTCAGCAATGCCTTCAGACACACCCCCACAGTCAGCAAAGCTTTAACAAGTAAATAACTTCTACTCCTCCACATCATTACTACACACCTACAAGCAACATCCAACGCCTCTTTCAGAAATAGCTCCTGTTTTTCTGTAAGTAATGGAGAAGTGAAGAAAACATATCCTTTAAGACCTCTTTATGTCTCACAATCCGAGGATGAAAAGAGCAATTAATTTATCAAGTCTTTTGCAGAACAGCTTTTCAACACCTAGCTAACTTGTTCAAGCAGAAAAACGCAAATCAACACATATGACAGCATTATTTTCATGTTGCAAACCTCCAAGGTATTTTGATGCTTCACATAGTACTGTCTCAAGATTTATATCTGTTGGTTATTTCATTTAAGTTTTAATGAAATGACTCTGCTACTATGTTTCATCTATTTATTTTTGGAGAAGCACTGCTCTCAAGTCAGGCGACAGCTATTTTCATTTTTCTGCAAGACTTGTTTCAAGTAAGTGTTCTGATGACTCCAGGGATGAGTAATATTCCCATCCAAAATAAGGATGGCTTATATTTCTTTTTCTGAGAACATATATATCTTTTTCTAAGGACGATGTGGTAAAGGCATGAAAGGCTCGTTATATTTTGTTCAAGCTTAACAGCTAGAAGCAGGTTATCCTGCCAAATTTTGTTTAAAAGGCTCTTAATATTCCCTAGGAATCACTCAAACTGCAAGTTGAGTGTTTATAAAAAATTTTCAAGTAACAATGCAGGACAACTTGCACTTTCTTCTGCAGAGAAGTCTCAACACCACATTCAACTATTCCTGCACTAGGGGTTTCACATTTTTCAGCTTCATCTTCTACCTCTTTTGCTATTCCAGCGATCAATTAATTCAATTGCACAAACTTTTCCATTAGGCAAGCAGGAATTGACACAAATCAATTCATTTTGCTACCATTTCTTTTCTGTTAGCAAAGAAAAGTCCTTTTCAGGACTACAAATACATATTAATTTTATCTCTCAACAGAAGTTTGTTAGCCAAGGACCACCAAATCATGTTTCTTAAGCACAGTGAAGCAAGATTTCACTGTGCATTCTAAGGCCTTTCAAGAGCCAGTAATGCCTGTTATCTTGAAAAGAAAATCCAAGCAAACAGCATTGCAGTGAAGGTAGAGCAGCTCTCACCTTGCGTTTCAGAACACTGAGTTTCTCCACGACTCCATCCAGGAGACTGACAACGGAGTCCACAGCAGGACAACTGCTGAGCGTCTTCTCCAGCTCCGCCACCACCATGGTGACGTGGCTGGTCTCGCGATCAATGTTCTTCTGGGCAGCTCGGAATCGCTTGTTCAGTGTTTCATATGGCACCTGAAGGAGAAATACCAAGTCATTAGAATTTCTGTATTAAAAGTCAGCTCCTCTAGAGCTTAGAAAGACTGATGATTTCATCTGATGCAGCCCGAAGAACACCTCGGTTCCAGGGGACTAGAGGTCATTGATTGAACTTGAGTTCCCATACTAAAATAAAACCCTTATTTAAGTTCTCTCAGCAAGGAGCCCATACTTCAAAGACAATGAAAAAACAACAGGAAAAATGTTGCAGTTTCTTGTCTGATACCAGGTTCACCTATCCTGCTTTGGCTGTAGGAAGCACTGATGGAAACAGTCCAGCGACAACAGAAAGCGAAAACAAATTTGCACCTACAAGGAAAGCTACAAATTAAACTACAACTAAGATCACCCTTCAGAACATGACTTTCTAATTTTCTATTTCTTCCCTTCATGAATTCATTAAAAAAGAGAAAGTTACATTTGAGAGAAAGCATGTATAATGCATATTGGCTACTAAAAAATTTATACACGGTGCACCAACAGTTATTCAGGAAATCCAACAAGTCTCCTATATACACCTCTATCCATGAAAGACTACTTCTTAGGATAGGACTGTAAAGAATGCCAAGAGAAACCCCATATAAATTTTCTTTTAGTGATAAAAGCCTACAATGTATGACTAAACTGGTTAATTCCCTCTAATGCTCCATTCCTGAGTTAAGGGATTTGCCAGTTTTGGAGGTGTCCTATTTTGTCCCACACCTTTGTGGAACAGTCGAATCAAAACTGCTACTGATGGGCACTAGGGACACATGGATGGGAGCAGTCTACAGCCTGGGGAATGATTTGGGGAAAGTTCACAGGAAGTGTTAAGCTGCTTCCACTACAGCGGCAGCACAAGCAATTTAGACAGGAAGATCTATTACTTGACAGAAACCGGAATTTTTAAAAACATTCCAGTGCTATACACTTAATTGAGCCATATCTCTAATCTTCAAAAGAAGTCCATTAGAAGTTCTTTCAGGTAGTTATGATAATCTTGATTGCTTTTCTATTAATCAAAGGCATAATTTAGCTAGCAATCAGATTATCCCTGTTAAAGGTAAAGCAGGAAACACAAATCAGTGCTCTGTTTGGTACATATCACATACATGTTTGATTACAAATCTTTCAAGCATGTAACTTCTAATCAATTATATCAAGGTCTCCGTTTTCCTCATTCTAATTATCTGCATGTAAGGAAGTATTCCCAGGGGCCAGACCCCTTCTGGGCTCTATTAGCAAAGAGGTTCCTACAGAACCACTGCAATTCCCCATCACAGAACAGTTTGGTTCAGAGGAAGGAAGGTGAGCCAAAGCATTTGCTTTCCAAGACTTTCGCATTACTTACAGGAGGTTCATTTCTAGTAGTAATAAAACACGAGGATAATCCTGATAAGGTATGAAAGGGGTCCTCTTGTCAAGACTGAAAGGACCTATTTAATGGTTCTTCATATCTCAATCTAAGACCTAAACAAATGACAGGACAAGACTCTACCACAGGAAGCATCAAGCCAAAACAATTATTTTCCTTATACATTTTGCCCTAAAATCCCAGCAGTACATCCAGCCAAAACTCAAACCACATAAACCACAACAAATCATAGGCTTCAACACCTACTTAGTTGCCTATACAACAATCTTCCATCTCCAACCCTCATTTCTTTTTTCCATTTCCACAAAATATATGAAATATTTTAGAGACCCACTGATAAAATGGATGTTCTAGGAGGCCATTATTTTGACATCTCATGTTTTTGAACATGGAAACTCATTTCCAACTCTAAGACCTGATGCCAGACAGCATTAAGACAACTTCTTCCATTCTTTTTCTCTCACTGTATTTTTCTTACTGTCCACCAAAAAATATTTCTGCAAGTATTTTGCTAAGCAGCTTTCCATGCCACACTGAAAATCTGCATCAATAAAGACTTTCATAAGCTACTATTAATTTGAGGTATCTTTTTTAGAACAGAAAGTGCTTTTGTTAAATTTTGAGCAGTCAGTTGGACACAGATTTAGTCACTTGGAAAAAAAGTCTGTTTAATCTCCCTTTTCCCTAGTTCCTTATCTGCACTCAAGAGCAGTAACAGTGCCCATTTCCTGTGCTCTGTCTCTTCAGCATGCAGATTTCTGGCACAGTTTGTGTTCGTATGACATTTAGAACAATTGAACTTTCAATTTCAGCTGGTATCACTATATATCATTTAGAATGTGTTTAGGTGCAATAGTTTTTGAATCATCTCTTATCCTTTTTTCCCTCCTACCATGAAAACAATCTGAATGTCTTGTGTGGAAGAGGGTACGAGTTGAAATGTTTCCATGATATACTCTGAAAGTAAATAAAAGTAAACATATTGAGAAACATAATTTAGTGTGTCATAACAAGGGAAATTAAAGGTACAATGAAATTATTTGCATAACTGAGGCTGACAGTAAATACTCTTTACCAGAGATTTTCATAATTTATACGGGCACTTGTTTCTTATAGAGCCAGCAGTTTTCATGAGATTATTTGTAAATCACATCTAGATACAGCTTTTACACTAACTTTACAGGGACAGAGTCTACGAATGCCAAAATTTAGAACTGCAACTGCTGTATTTCTTACAAAGCAGCATTTTATCTGGAATTTGCATCTTGATCTGCTGCTTCTTTTATTACTCCTACAGCTCCAAAGTGCCAAAAAACCCAGCTCCCCAGCACTGGCTTGCTTTACTGCAGAACCCTTCAAAACTTACAAGCATTGTACCAATAGGATCATTTTTTTCCACCAATAATGAAAGTTAATGGAAGGAGAACATATAAGAAAGTAATCTGGACAATGCAATTCAAACAATTTTAAACTGTGGTTCATTTTGATTTTCAGGTACCATTGTTAGAACACTGTGAACACTGAACTTTTCCTACCAAGAGACAGATGCAAGTTTTATATCTCATTAATTGCCATAAACCTATTAGAGACTTGGAATCTTTCCTGCCAATACCATTCTGTGACCAAACCTGGATTACACAGTCATTATTTAGAGACAAGAGTGACCTACAGAACCCAGCCTAGGGAAGCATTACCTTAAGGAAAAAAGAGTAAATCAGCTACTAGAAATTTGAAATAAAACAGCAGGTACTGACTAGAATGTGCTCTGTATAAGCACAATACCAACTTGTCCTACTCGGAGCTTGAAAAACCACACCCAGCTGGCTCATACTGTGAACATAGAAGAGGATACAAAGGAGAGTTGTAAAATATTAGTGGGCAGCACATTTAAATCCAGTGACACTAAATAGGTTCTGCTCCTTTTGTTCATCAGCTTCCACAGCTGCAGACACATTATTCTACGTAGGGATGTACTAAATCAGGTCAAACTTAAACCTAGTGAAAAGGAATTTGACTGAAGTTAGAACAACCTACACAAGGGGTAAAATTCCAGTAAGACAAGTTTTTCCAAGATCAAAATTTTGCTGTGATGTGAAGAAAAGGCTGCTTGGCTGGAGGCTTCTGCAACTGTAGCGTGACTGCTTCCAGGTGCTAAACACTAACAAAAAGGCAGACACAACTGATTAACCAGAGTCAAGTATTTTTCTACATTTCAGGAGTTATTTCACTCTCTTTTTAGAAAGCAAAAAAAGTGGTGTGCTGTCCCAGAACACGCTCCAACAATCTCTAGCTGTGGAGACAAGACAGAAGAGGATTGTTCTGGGTGCAAGCTTGAACTGGTAGAAGAGGAGGAAGGACTGCCATGAGAGCTACATTTCAGTTGAGAGCAGGGAGTAGAAAACTGCAGAGCTAAGGATGTCAGGGGGAGTTTTTAAGTGTACACTTCGGAACTCAACTGTGAAGTTTACTCCCTGGCCTTGAGCCCAAGCACAGTCCTCTTCCTGCCCATGAATGCAAATAAGGTACCAAAGCAAGGCAGAGCTCTCAAATCGCGAAGTGGCTAAAATGATTCAAACTGGGCAACTGCAGGCAATCTTTCTTTTCATAAGCCATATCAAATGTTACTTGAAATACCCTTAAGCATAGCGAATTTAAATATATTTTCATAAAGATACATTTTTCAATAAGCTGTTCACTTACTAAGCGATTCAATTTTCCTGAGTTTTTTGAAAACACATTAAAAGTAGAAAAAAAACCCAGCCAGTATTAAATGCTTGCATATATTGCAACCTGATATTTTGCAAACTGTATACACTTCTCAAGTGCTAATTATCAGCCTGTAAATAAATATTTAAAGAAATATAAATAATATTAAGCCAACTGCATACAGAGCTAGATCAAAATAAGTATGAGCAGCTGGTCAAGGGAGGCAATCTTGCCCCTCTGCTCTTGTCAAGCCCCTGCAATGCTGCACCCAGCTCTGGGGCCCCCAAATACAAGAAAGATCTGAACCTGCTGGAGCAAGACCAGAGGAGGCCACAATGGTGATCAGAGGGCTGGAGCCCCTCTGCCGTGGAGACAGGCTGAGACAGCTGAGGGTGTTCAGCCTGGAGAACAGAAGGCTCTGGGAAGACCTTATGGCACCTTCCAGTACCTAACAGGGCTATAAGAGAGCTGGAGAGGGACTTTTCACAAAGGCATGGAGTGACAGGACAAGGGGAATGGCTTCTAAATGGCAGGGGCAGGGTTAGATCAGATAGGAAGAAATTCTCTGCTGTGAGGGTGGTAAGGCCCTGACATAGGTTATCCAGAGAAGCTATGGATGACACAGCTCTGGAAGTGTTCAAGGCTGGGTGGGGCTTTCAGCAACTTGGGTCTAATGGACATGGCAAGAAGGCTGGAATTAAATTATCTCTAAGTTCCCTTCAAAGTAAACCATTCTATAATTCTAAACCAGCAAATCCTACAATGCATATTGCTTTTACACTCATTATCAAGACTTTACTGACATTAATTTTTCTTTTCTTAAGGTTTTTCAAATGTATCTACATGTGCACGTCATACTCTCTCCATATACTGAATATATAGAAACAGCTGTTGAACACACTCCCACCTCAGCTCTTGCTTATCTCTACAGACTCACAGAAAAACGCCTTTAGAAAACATGTAATGAGAACATACCACCTATAGCCTTTAACAATATCAAAAGGGAGAGGAGAAGGCAGACCATTTTACACTCATAGAAGTTCGTTAATTATAGTGATCAAAGATTAAAAAGCTTTGTTACCCCAATGGCATTTATGTTGTTGGAAGTCAGACATCCAGACTGGACTTATGGTCATTGTAGCACCTTGAATTCTATTAAGCAGTTTAACGGCATTTCGAGAATGTGGTGAAGTTTTAGCCTGCTGCACAGTTGCAGCTTCTACAACAGACACAGTCACTCACTGAGCACCTGGGGTTTGCAAACAAATTGAATACAGACACTGCTGAAGGGCTCTCTGCTTGGGATAGAGTACAGCATAACAAAACAAACATGAACTGTCCGAGGTCCTCTTTGCAGAGGTGTTGGAGTTGTCCAGCCACAAAAGCCTTCTGAGTCACAGCTAGAAATCCTGCACTCGTTACCATCACAGCCAACATATACATCCAATTCATTCAACTAGACTTCAAATAAGTAATTGCAATTACCAGAGCCTTATAGACACAAGCAGCTCAAGGAAGATGAGAAGCAGCTACAGAATTGAGTTTGTGACCTAGCTACGAAGGACAACAAGGTCTCACTTTCTAAATGCCTTCTCTTTGTCTTTACTGGTTAAGGTCTTCTCCTAAGCCTTCCTGATGATGTATGAGCAACTGAGTCTGGGGAGAGAGGTACTATTCACTCATGTTAGAAGTCCAAAGCAAGCTGAAGATACAAAGGTACATAGGAGCAGGACTGAGGAAAGGAGAGAGCTCTTGGATGACACTGCAAACCTGATTCCATTGCTGGAATGTCGTGGTGAACAAGAAAAGTTGTTCGTGATGGAAAAGAACAAGTTTTTTGCCTCTACTCCAAAAAGAGAACTTGGAAGATCACAAAAAACTACAGGCTGGTCTGCCTCATCTCAGTTCTTGTGAAAGTTACAGAAAAAAATCATATGGAAACCATTTCCAAGCTTATAAAGGTGACTAGGAATAACCAGCCCAGATTTGTCAGAAGCAAATCAAACTCCACAACACTGTTTGCTTTCAGTGATCTCTGAATGACAGGAGCACGCTGGCAGCCTTTCATGACAATACAAGTGAGGTTTTTAACATTGTCTCACTTGTGGCCAAACAGGGGAGACATGGACTCAATGGCTGAATACAAGATGGGTGAGGGACTGACTGCATAGTCAGGCTCTAAGAATAATGGTCAGTGGTTCCAAAGCTTCCTGGTGGCCAATTACAAGTACTTCCTGACTCCTCAGGAATGTTATCAGTTCCAACATACATGTCATCTTCAACCATCTGCACTACAGAACACACAGTCAGAAAGCTCATAGAGGACAAACTGGTGGAGTGCTTGATAAATGGGTGTCAGAGCTGCCATTCAGAAAAAATGACGAACTGGTGAAATACACCACGGAATTTAAGAAATAATAAGGCAAACACCAGGGCCCAGTATCTGGCACAAAACCACCCCAGCCTTCAGCACTGGTTGTGGAATAACTAGCTACACCCACTACTGCAAGAAAAGATGCAAAAGTCCTATTGGACATGAATCAGCAACAGGCTCTCATGGCAATGAAGGTTAACCCCATTGCAGGCTGCATTAGCAAGACTAAAGGCAGTGCATTGAGAGGAGTGATTGTTGATGCTCAGCACTCATGCAGACTCATCTGGAATACTGAGTCTGGTTTTCAGGTCACTCCCCCACTCCCACTAAAAAAGAGATGCTAACAAACTGGAGAGAGTCCAGAAGGCTGCCACCATGACAGTGAGCTGGTTGGAGGATAAAGAAAAAAATCCAAGAGAAGCTGAGAGGGGCAGGCTTGTTTCCGTTGCAGAAGGGAAGGCTACAGGGAGTTGGAAGCTGCACAATCTGATAGAAGCTTTCTCCCACCGAAAGGTGAAGGTCACAGATAAGAGCCAGCCAGACCTTCCTGAGTTACAGAGCAAAAAGGAAGGAGGCAGAGCTGACAACTGTCACTAAAGAAAACTCCAGCTGGACATAAAAAAAAAATATTTCAATCAGAAGACTTGGTAAGCACTGGAACCGCAGCTCAGAAAGGTGATGGAATCTCCACCCTCAAAAACTTTCAGAACTTGGCAGGACTCTGAGCAACTCAGATAAGCTTTGAAGTTAGCTGAGGTTCGAGCAGAAGCCTGAATTTAACACTGTCAGCAGAAGTACTTTCCTACTTTAATTTAACGAATTCTTCTTTGCTAACTTAGACATCAAATACATTTCCATATGAAGATCTGAATGACCATACCAGAGAAGATCCAAAGTCCCTTCCTCTGTCACTATCTTTTCTCTGATGACATCCAGGAAGGGGACGGCACTTGAAAAAAGGCAAGAACAAAATCAGTAATCCCAAACAGTCTCTTTGAGCTTCTTGAACCAGAGATGGGAGTTTAATAGTAGAAACACCACAGGGTGATTCTCACTCATGAACTCTGATGGTTGCTGTTGACCTGAGTTTTAGTACTGCAACATCCTGTTGTGAGACATCTCACAGGCTCACAACAATGTGAAGAAATACTCTTTGGTTTTGACTTTTCACCTAATTTGAAACCCTTCTGTTCTTGTTTTGGAAGCAAAAGAGGGAACTAACTCTCTCTTTCTCATACATACTTCTCACATACCTTGAGATTGGAGACTCCTTCTAAACATACCTTGAAGACAGACATTTCATCTCTCTAATCATTCTTGCCCTTCTGTAGACATTTTCCAGTTCTACTACACTCTTTTTCAGAATGAGAGAAGGGAGAAAATAACAGTAACTCATACTACTTGAGAGAAGAAGAAACCATGGATTTTAACTGCTGTGTAGAGTTCTCCATTTCCCCCCTTCACAACACTTTTGTCCTGTGTTTGTCAACATTAACCTGAATATTCATATAGAACATTCACTATTAGCCCTAAGATCCCACTGACTAATGATGATCATTTCCAACTCAGTTAACATACATATAAGACTAGGATTAATATTCTTTCCACCATACCTAAAAACTGTATCACACTGCACTTGTCTATACTGAATTCAATATATTTTAACACCCATTCAGTCTCTCGCTGTTTTTTCTCTAATGGTTCACACTTGGGCTACATCTGTAATACATCAATCATTTTAGTATCATCAAGGAAACTGCTTCATCTCAGCACTTACTCTTTCTTCCAGGCTGTTCAAACAGTTGAATATCACCAGGATACCAACAGAATCCTAACACAAACCTTCCTCCAGAAGATTTCTTCCATTACAGAAGCCGGCTACTAAATCTTGATGCTTGTTTTTTATCTTGCCCAGTTCCTTATCTGCATAAGGACTTGAGTCTTTCATGCAAGAGTTCCTGGTAAGGCTTATCTCCAAAAAACATTCAGTAATATGAATAAACTATCAACCAAGTCCACCTCACTGCCTCCTTCAGTTTTTTAAAAACAACTCCAATATCTTTACAGGGCATGCACTTTTTAAAAGCCACATTAACTGATGTACATCATTCCATATTGGATTAGTCAGGATACTTCTGCATCAATAAGCCATTGGTTGGAAGGGAAAAATCAATTACATATATTAAGAATCTCACTAAAATTTTACTTAATGTAGAAGACTGTTACCATGCTTCTACTTTATCTTTCTTCCACAGCTATCCAACAAAATCCCCAGACTACTTCAACATTTATCAGAGAATTAAGAGGAGGACTGAACACAAGAGAAAGGGATTTCTCCCAAGACAAAAAAGTTTTTTATAACAAGTGTTATGTGCTGCATTTCTACTCCTTTGGAAGTGTAGGACGTTAGGCCAAAGTCTACAAAATTCCAAATACCACCTTGATGCTGCCCACAAGTTTTTCTAACTGGTACAGACCAATACTGAAAGACTGAGTTACATATTTCTTTCATGACTGAAGTTCTGAAAAAAATATAAGCCTTTATTCTCCTCCAAATCTTTAGCCTTACACTAGACTTTCATCACACCAGTTCTCACACTGATCTGGTCACATACTACAACACTGGCCAAATTCCTTCTTTACTTATACAGACTTAACACTAAGGAGGTCCAAACAAAAATGGAAACAAACACAATCACTTTCAGACCACAAGATGATTCAAAATGTTTCTAGCCCATGCTAACTGCATAGACGAAACTAGTTCAGATGTAGCAGAAAAAAGTAAAAACCAGTTTGTATAGCTATCATTTGGTTGTTGGGAATTATAGAGTAAAAGTGAGACTTCAAAAAAGTCAACTGAAGGAAGAAATTGAAGGAAGAAGTATTTGGTTGTATAAATAAGACCATTAACTGTTCTCCAGACTCTTGTTAACAGGAATTTTCAAAGGTTTCTTATTTCTTTTCTAAAAACTGATTTTCACAGGAAACAGTATAGACAACAGAAACAAGCATCTTTTACATAGGTTTGCAATTCTGTAAAGAACATCCATTTTCTTTCTGTGTTTGATAGAGAGTAATTAATTTGGTCTAACTGGTACCAGCTCCTACAGAGGGAACTTTTAACTATATATCCTGACTTGACAAGATTTGTGTGCATCTTCCTTCCTCAGTGTTAAAGTATCTTGGTTGAAAGTAACTCCTTCCCACATAAAATGTGATTTAAAAAAAACCATAAAAATCTACATTGTATATCTTTTCAAATTAACTCAGTCATGAGCAGAAGGGAGTTAGAAATGTATTTTTAAAAATCTTATCAAGTACATGAAGTCACAAAACTTGGGGGAAGAAAAAAAAAGGAGTTTCAAGAAATATAAAATAAAAAGAGTCCTACCCGGTTAGGTGGGGGGAACCATTACAGAACTATGCTCTCCTTTCAAGGGTCACAAAAATGATGTGCTTTGCTTCCTCTCCTCAACTGTCTTAGCTTATAACACCTGAAAAGCACCAGAGATTTGTATGAATCTACAGGTCTCCAAGACACTTTAGTTGAAGACTCTGAGATATAAATAAGCTTTTTTCAAATGACCCTACATGAAATTAAGCCTGGCTAGACAGCTAAGGAAAACAGAGAGGTGCTGTGATGAAATTGCCTTTTAAAAAACTAGAAGCAAAGACAACTTAGCACTACTTTAGGAAAGAAGAACAAGGAAATATAGGAATATGTAAGAAAAATTAAGCATCTCCTGAAGAGTTTTAATAAACAAACGGTGTCAAGAGAAAAATTAAACCCCACAAGAAACACCTTCAAGCATTCAGCTATTTTCTTGAAACTAAATTAGATCACCATGCTCACTGCTTCAACAAAACAGAAAAGTAGAAAACATCTATTATATCTAACACCATAGAAAAATGAGGCAGGGTACAATAAACTATGGAAAATTTTCCCTCAAAGAAGTAACAATTAAGCATTTCCATGCAGAAATACTGAACTTCTGTATTTTTATATAGTTCATTTTTTCCTCAATGATTCTTGGATTACTTCATACCAGAGTCAGCATCATTATTTATCACCGGACTTATCCAAAACATAAATAATTTCACCACCTCTTCAGTGAACTCTCCTGATGAGTAGCTCTTATCAATTCCTTAAAATAGTAATAGTTTTTCTTTGTTCTAGGCAAAATCAGGAAAGGAAAATAAAGTTAAAAGAGTAGTAGTATATTTCAGGAATGGATGGCTTAGAATAATGCCATCATTTAGGTTAATTAGGTAAAAGCATTAAAATAAAATCTTGAAGAGATATAGATCCAAACAATGCAATTTCATAAGTCTAAAAGCAGTTGGGGGTAATTTGGATTATTAAAAAATAGTTATTTTTAAAAACAGTTTCAATGTTTTGGAAGTGTAAAGCCTAGTAGCTTGCCTTAGTCACAAACAAGTCAGTTTTATAACTCAGGAAGACAGTATATGTATTCTAAAGCAGCTGTGTCTCAAAAGAAACCATCATCATATTATTCAAAGCTCCTACTTCAATACAGGAGAGAATGAGCAGCAAAAATTCGTGGACTATCCATCTGCTACACACATACTTAGTCAACAGAAGCAATCACACTCCTTCAAATTTTATCCTGTTACGCAAACCGCAAGTAACTTATTTCTGAATACATTTTGAACTTTTAAATAAGGCTTCCTACAAGAAAATTAAGTGCTTTACAAAACCATTTTACAGTTACAGAAAACTGTCTTACATCCTTATATAAGGAAGTTAACAGCCATTTTAGAGCCCTGTCTAGAACCACCCTGAGGACATCAGAGGTCAGTCCTTTTCAATGCACTTGTTTATACCTGCCACCCTGGACTTGCACCTCCAAAGAAATGTCTTTCCTTTTCTTCTATTAGTACGAATACTAGAGTACTAACAAGAGCCTAAGCATTGCTCCCTGGCCAAAGAAGCAGCTGAGTTGCAAAGCTAAGGTCACTCAGCAGGTTTGTGTCCTGAGCAAGTCCTTCCATTTGTTTTGATCCTTTCTTCTCCAAATATTTGCTCATTTTAATCACAGCACCACCTCTTTAGCTCTTTAAATGAAAGAGGTCGTTGTCCTTCTGTGAGTTTGCACAGTCCAGACACCATGATACTGCCCAGAGATCCCATTTCCAATCAGATTGCTCCAATATAACCTATTCCAGCCAAAGTGACAGCATTTCTTATAAGATAATTAAGCATTATTGATTCAAATTAGCAGACCCATATCAGAATATATGAATAACCAAAGTTCTACTCAATCTGTTTTACTTTCATTTTCACTAGTTTACAAGTCAAGTTAATCCACAGAGCTCTTAAAAAAAAAGCTGACATAAATCAAAATAAGTTGTGAAGCAGTTAAATTGATGGTTATCAAAATAAAAGCATCATAACAAAAAAAATTGCTCTATTTAAATCAAATCTCACGTATTTTAAGTAATCAATTACTTTGGCGTATTTCACATTCTGGGTTAGCAAATACTTCCCACATAGTGTATCTTCAGGCTGTAAGTTGTGGGAGGCCAAGTGTGCAATGCAGGCAGCTTTTTGACTTAACAAGGACTGATGGATGCTGTCAGTGTGCCCTTACAGCAAATACCCATCTGCCAGAACAGTACTTCCCTAAATCTGTGAGCCTGAAAGGCACACGCTTATGCTGATTATACGGGAACCACTGATTTGAAAGACAATGGGAAGATGCTTAGGGAGCACACCAAGTAAACCATTTTCCTCCCATGACAGTATCTAGGAAATGTTTGAAGCTCATCTTTACTGTTTCCCAGCTCTTGAAAAACACTCACTATGCTAAGGCTCAAATCTTACTTCAACTTAAAGATTCCAATGTCTAGCTACAATACCAACATATTACTCCTACACCAGAAAACATACACAAACCAAACTCACGAGATCACAGGCCACTGTCCTGTGAAAACACTATAAATCATGTATGGTGCAACTAGGAATTGCAACATCAGGTAAGTGTTCACTCTGAAGATACTAACAGGAAATATATAAGATGTTTGAGAATACCTTTCTTCAAGTATTTTCCTACAGGCAGAATGGGGTACTGATAACCAAGCAACAGCTCTAGCTCATGACCACACTGTTACTGCCTTTGACTGTGTTTTCTTCCTTCATTAATCACTCTAAAATGTATATTATAGTGAGTGAGCAGGGGTGGAAAAGAGACCAACAGGAGCCAACTTCTTCAGCTACTTTACAACATCAAACTTCTTAACAAAGTTCTACAGTGTTAGCTTTTTCTTAAAATAGTGTTTTTTAGAACAGAGCCTAGTGCAAGAAAACAACAGCAGCAGAAAAGATGTCACACTTTGCTCACACACACTATGTGTCAAAACAGGAAGTGCATTATTCAGCAGCACAGGAACGCTCGGCATGGACATTGAACACATTTGGTGAGTCAGAGCACCCAGGTTGAAGATGGATTTAGTATGAGATAAGTGTTCATGATGAGTTAATGCAGAGCTGTTACCAACATTCAGGCATAGCTAATTTTGCCAACCTTCTGCCTGAAAAGCACTTAGATAATGTAAAAACAGGCCTACAAGAGAGCTGGAATGGAACTTTTTTCAACAGCAGGTAGTGACAGGACAAGGGGGAATGGCTTCAAACTAAAAGAGGGCAGGTTTAGATTAAATATGAGGAAGAAATTATTTTATTGTGAGGATGGTAAAACACTGGAACAGGCTGCCCAGAAAGCGGTGGATGCCTCCTCCCTGGGAGTGTTCAAGGCAAGGCTGGATAAGCCTTTGTGCAACTTGGTCTAGTGGGAGGTGTTCCCGACCCTGGCAGGAGGGTTGGAACAAGATGATCTTTAATGTTCCTTCCAACTCAAGCCATTCTATGATTCTATCATGATACGTATTTTTTTACATTGATGTACAGACAGTGAATTAAATGTTACAAGTTGTTACTTCTGTCTTAGGTTCTGCTTGAACCACTTTCACTGAACAACTTTTGCTATTACCTGTTCAAAGTCTTGACTCTTAAAATTAGGTTCAAAACCAACTTAGAGCAAAGCTTATAAACATGGGAAAAAACCAAAGTACTGTAATCAGTTATGCAAAAAATTAATCTTGCACTTC